GATTTTCGGACAAACTTGATGAGATTCAACATATTTTTAACGTCATTTAGCTATAACTGTATCTGTAGGGTAGATTGAGGCATGCCTGTAAACAACCATGTTTTATGATAGACTTTAGTCTTCAGGTTGAAATAAAAAGATGTATTAAGGTAGTATATAGCGTTTGTCTTGTATTGAGATAGGGATTAGGTTTTCCCATGTATTACGTAGGATATTAAATATCATGTTTCAGATTTCGACCAATGCTCCTTGAATTTGCTCCTCGATGGACAGAATGCTTCTTGAATTTGAATTTACAATATATCAAGTAACACGTAACATTTTCACGTGCGACATAAGTTATCTACGGGGAAAGAAAGTCTTGTACCTGGTTTCCAACACGCTTGCTTATCTCAAGAATAAAAGAAGTGAAAATTTGTTGTTGTTGTTGTTGTTTTAACCACGCACTGGAGGCTGTCTCGGATGGTCCAGTATGGTTGTTCGTGGTTAGTTTCGTTTCCGGTGTTCTTGGATGCTTGATTTCGTCTCGTCTCAGTACTTATCTGTAAGATAAGATTTTTTTGAAATTGCTCTAGTGTTTGCTAGGTAAACACGGCAAAAATCTCCAGTTCTGTTGGCCTTCGAAGAACATTAGGGCTGATGATATAAAAACCAAAAGAGCTTCGTCTCCTTGATGGTGATGAAGTAAAAGGTCAGGAGTGGCGACTACTCAAAACCCCGTTACAGAGACTGAGCGTCTTTTAGTGCCTTTCCCTGTAAGAAGTGGCAATCTTTCGTCTAAAGAGTGCTGTTGTGCAGTCAGTATCTGTGTCGACTGATTGTGATGATAATTCTTAAGGGATTAAGCTCTCCCGCTCTGCTTATGTAGGGAGGTTTAGAAATTCTGCTACCTTACAGGGTTTATTCCACAGACTTTCTACTGCTAGGTCTGTGGGCCTGCTTGAAGACTTAGACATGTGGTGGTTGTCATGTGGGCTTTGTCTGCATTCTGGGCATTCATTTTCAACTTTTGAGTTAACTCTTGTATTGTAATTATTATGCATGGGAGAATAAACGCTACGGAGCTGCGAGAGTCTGCTTCTTGTTGTCCGCGGCAGCTGTTTTTCTCGGTTACTGATTTTCAGCGGCTTTTCTCATAATAATTTCCTTTATTCCACTTGTGTAATAGATTTAACTGTATTGGTATGGGTTTTTTTATTCCATTCCGATACTGCTTGGTGGTCACATCACCGTTTTGGTTCACAAAACAGGAAATGTCAGTGCGATGTTGTTGGTGTAAGGTTGGCGTAAGGATGACATCCGAGTAAAAATTGTTTCGCTATGAATTCGCTGTGCGCTCGAACAGGTAAAATTTGTGTTTCAGAAGTGTAAATGATCAATTGGTGACATCATTACATACACATTTATAGTTCTTAATGCCCTATTTTGTTTTGTTGGCAGCTCTTTCCATTTAGTATCACTTAAAGTGGGAGACCGCTATGACTTATTGTCGTGTAAGTTAGTTCCAAGGTCTACTTATCGCATCCCCACATGGTTCCTGCTAATTTTCTTAAAGATGTTATTTCTACTATGAACTTTTTGACATTTTTTAGTGATATGCTATCCAAAGTTCATTAGCCCATCAAAGGTAACGCCTAAAATTTCGGGTTTTTGTACTGAGGTAGTTTATCTGAATCTACTTAAACACCTGGGTCCTCATTCAGTTCTGCCTACCGGTAGCGAACACTATGGCAGAAGATTCATCAACGGATAAGCTAAGGCTCCTTTTGAGAAGAAACTTAATTAGTTCTGTTAAATATTTGTTAATTGGTTGCGCTAGATCTTGAACATTTGACCCAGATTTTATAATAGTTACATCGACAGACTCAGTTAGCTTGGAAATATAGATATTGAAAAACGATGGTGAGAGTACCCCTCCTTGTGCAACCCCTTGTTTTACGTTACGCCTTCTGGAAATTAGGTCATTGTAAACCTCGATAAATATAAATCTACCTTGGAGGTATCCGCTCACACATCTTCTTTCGTTGTTGCTTAGACTGCTTTCTAACATATCGTTGAGGAGTACTGTGTAGTTAACAGTGTTAAGTGCCGCGGTCAGATCAAAAGCCACTAATAACGATCTGCCAGGCGGGCGTGCTTTGTTCATTCCTTTTTTAACCGTAAAGATACAGTGTAGAGCGGTAATTGTGGACCTCGATTTTCTGAAACTATGCTGATCTTCAGCTGATGGGGTTTTGAGGCCAAACTCTGGGAGTAATAGCCGTTCTTTTATTTTAGCAACAAGGGAGAGGAGAGCAAAAACCTGTAGCTTTTTGAATGCCCTGGATCCTTTCACGGTTTCAATATTGGGAAGACTTTACCTACTTTCCAATTCTGCGCGATAACGCATGTGCCTAGTGACAGATTGATCAGGTGGGTTAGAAAAAACACGCCCTTAGGCCATAAGTAATGCAAGTGTATAGGGGCGATTTGGTCCGGCCCGAGTCCTTTACTCTTCTTTGATTGTTTTATGGCTTCTTGCACCATTAAGGGCGAGAGTTGTACTTCGTCAATTGTAAGGTTTCTAGGTTTTCTGACACTGGGCTTTTTTGCTTTCGGTACCAACTCAGGATGAGGCGTGAACTCTTGAATAATAAGAAAAACTTGGCACATTATGTGGATCGAAGGTTTCTATCGATTCGCCACACTTGATTGATTTGTTACTTTGTGGTCTGGACGTGCAACTGGATAAAGCTTTAATGGTTGACCAAAGTTTGTTGCAGTTGACCCTGTAGTCAATTGTATCCAGGAACTTAGTCCTATTGTCTCTTTTGTAGTCTTGGATAGCTTTATCTATTTTCCAATTGAGCTGGGCTATATCTTGTTTTCGAGGATTTGCTACCTGAGCTTCGTCCCTTTTCTTATTTAGCTTAATCGCTTACGGGGGAACGTCGACTTTTTCTCATCTGAAGGCACCTTGAGGGGGAAAACATGATGCCTGTTTACAAACTGTATCACTTAGCAATTTTCGCCTTCATATACATCTTTTGTAGGAATAGAGTGACTGAAAGCTACTTCTGTGTCTTCTTTGAAGCTGGCCCAATTGGCTTTTTAAAAAAAATTATGTCCTCTTGGTTGAATTTATGTCCTTTTGGTTGAACGTAGCGGTTGAATGGTCCAGTTTTATGTTATAATTATTGCTTGGTGATCGGAAACCAGTTTGGATACAGTTTTCCAGTCCTTACTCAACGCTATTGTGGGCTCGCTAACGTAATCTCGGGTGAGCTCTCAGTTTCCTTGTTGACCCTCGTTGGCGTGTCTTCGTTGATAACGATTAGTTCAGAATCAGAGATTTCATTTGCTAGTTCAATTCATTTTTTATTGGACTCCAACTTAGAACACCACAACTCATCGTGCCTGTTGAAACCTGCTTTACAACTTGAGGATGGTGGTATGTAAACGTTGCAAAGAGTGATGTTAGAGTTGCCAGAGAGCAGTTTCACTCCTTGCTGTTCAAGATTTTCATCGTTTAATTGATTGCTTAGTTCGATTTTCCGGTAGCTTATGCTTTTATGTAATATAAAGGCCAGACCTCCACCTTTTCCTCTGCTTGCAATTCTAGGTTTAGAAACTATTTCATAGTCGGGTGGCGATTTAAGGCAGGTATCCGGGAGCATAGTTTCTTGAATTGCCGCAATGAGGATTTGGTTAGTGTGCATAAAATCGCAGATAGTAGAAAGTTTCGGTCTGAGACCATTTGCAATTAGTTGTAAGATATTGAAGTGTTCGTAGTTGTTAAAATTCTTTGTTTTTTAGAAGTTCTTGGTTACGATTATGGGCTTTGTTGTTTGAAACTACGTGGTTGCTATTTTGGGCGTCGCCAGTTGTTTGGTTCTTTTGGTACCATTTCGTTAAAAAAAAGTAGCAATTCCACTGATAAACACGTTTTAGTGCCGAGCAATTCAAGTGAATCTATCCCCCATAATGGCACCATATGTTTGATTGGGTCGTACGGATGGATTTGAGACAAATGCTGCTTTCATATCTTGGTCTAGGGTTTCCTTCAATCCTTCAACCCTGGGTTTCCTTCAGGAGAATTAAGTTTTTCTCAAATCCAGCAGTTCGATTGAGCGGGAGCAGGGTTGCTGGTTTGTTCTGCTCCGTTGTCAAAATCACCGGTTCTGGCACTGGCACCAACAACCAGCTGTCTTCTTGACAGCTCCTTGGGTGGGGTGAATGGCATTAGGGTCTTTCCAGCATATTTGCGAGGAGACGTGGCTTTTCCACTGAGAGGGGTCCATCCATAAAACCATAATTGAAAACTCGTGCAAAGTTGTCAGGATTTGTCTACCCTCGAATTTCGTCAAGATAGCTTCCAATTTACCCAAACGAGAAAAAATATGGAGCTAGATTGACTAAATCAGTGCAATTTCCGAAAAAGGTTATTTTTGAACCTCTCACTTAACAATAGCCAGCTCATTATAGCGTTAATTTTTGATTTTTCTACGAAATAAACTTTCCATGGGAACCAAACCACAGGCCTCGAACATCCCACTCGACTTACAAAAACTCGGCACCAAATACAAAAAGACACAATATTTCAAGTAAGAATTTGGAATATAACAAACTTAAGGCATTCACACCAACTTTGAATGTAACAAATCGCAAAGCATTACACCACATAATGTTAAAATTATGTATTTTAAGATATTGAATTAGAAGTTTGAGATAATTATATTAGAAATTTTGAGTTAGAAAAACTCTGAAAGCGAGTTTTTACGATTGTTTATGTTGCTTGAAACAAATCGCTTTTTGTTGGTTCATTTAAGAAATAAAAATGCATCAACTGTGTCAACTTTTTACTATTCGAATGTCAAAGCACATGCTACCAAAAAGCTGTAAAGGTGCCTCAAAAGTTTAGGCTAAGTGTAAAGGCTTAGCTTAGAAAAACACAAGTGTAAGCAATGCTCGTAAGCTCCTTAGCGTTATCAAGGAAATCGTGAAGAATGGTAATCACTTACCTGTAGCTAGATGAACTATGAAGGGGCTCTCAATCTCCAATAGCTTGTCTAGACAGTAAGCACATGTGGCAATGATTCCGTTCACGCACAAGTCAACGGGAATGCAGTCGAAGTTGATCCGAGGGTCGAAAGTGTTGAGCTTCCAGATACCGTACATGCCAGCACAGAATGCACCTCAAATTAAATCATAGTAATTCCTTTATATTGTATTGGCTCTTTGATAAAAAAAAAGAGGCAATCAAAGATTTCCATTATTCCATCAATGGCTCTCAGACAATCAAATGCATAAACACAGTTATCTCAGCAGCAATTATCTAACTGAAAACTATCAAGCAACAATCCAATTGCTTCAGCAATGATAATTCAGCATACCTGTGATTGCGTTCATATTGTCTATGAAGCCCGGTTGTGGCTCATTCAGGGCAGCCCCAATGATAGTTGGTCTGACTATAGCTACGGGGAAGGGACACGATCGCAAGTCTATCTCGCCCTGTAAGTAGTTCTCAGCCATAGCCTTACTGTAAGTGTAACTATTGGGGGATCTTTTCAACAGGTATGGCTGTAACGCCTCGCCCATTTCAGGGCTCATCCATCTAAACATAATTGTAACAAGAACATTCAATTAAGTAGCTTATCACTCGACGTGACCTTAGAATTTTACTCATGGCAGCATTTAAATTTTCATCCCGACTGCATATAATATCTACTTTCTGGCAAGGCCGGCTATTGTTCACAAATAGTGTTTTCCACTTAGGAGGGCCTAAATAAACGTGATGATGATGATGGTGATGATGATTTTTCTCGCGGGTTTGGTCGCGTTCAGAGGGGCGAAGCAAAGACCCATGTTTACGCTCACGGCAATCAAAATCCAAACCAGGGGGAGAGGAGCCCGTCAATGAGAAAAGCTTAGGCTACATTGACGGGCGATCCTCCTCACATCACAAACTCACCCAAGGAGTGGCCGTCCATGGGGAGAAAACACAGGCAATAAACACCCGAAACCAAACGCGGCATGCAGAAGCACTGGCTAGAGCGAATCTGTACCATGATGTGAAGGTAAATCCCGGACAATGGAAGTGCTCTGTGTGCGAGGTCAACATAACCCAAAGAGAATGGTCGGTGACAATGGGTGCAAAAGGTGGACACTGGAAGTCCACTTCACTAGGTAAAGAAGGCCGATGGGACATATCCTTCAAAGCAGAATGCTGTCGGCGAACGTAAGCGGGACGACCCAAGCAGATAGTCCTGACGGCACCGCAAAACTGCAGAGACGGATCCAGAAAAAAGGGAAAGTTCAAAAGACAAGGCAAGGAGGAAGGGGAAAAGTAACAACACCATCATATGGACCTGGAACATACAAAGAGCTCGAGTGACATTCCCCCACCGGATCAGATTTTGCGAAATGTTACGGATGGTCACCAAATGCCAATGTTACGGATGATGCTGATACGCGGGGAAAAAGTGGTGTGTTTCTCAGGGACAAATGGGCGGCAGATTGGATCGAACAGGGGTACAAAAGACATTGCAGAAAGCGAAACACGGAAGTGGACGTCAACGGAGTGAAACTCGTCGCAACTTACTAACGAGTGTGGAACGGACATACTCAAGAGTTCACCGAATACAGTTAGAAACTGGAAGACATGCTATATCAAACAACCTCTAGGAAATTGGCGGAGATTTCAACTCCACTGTCGGGGACACCAGAGCTAGAAGCAGAGATGAGATGGCCAGCTTGTTTACAATAGGCAGAACGAACACTGCAGTTAGAGACCTGATAGAGTGGTGTCACGCACAGCGGTTGACATGGATGTGGTCTTCCGTGAGCCAGAAGAACAGAGTTACATGGAAGAACCCGGCGTTCTCCAACGTTTACTTCTCACAGACTATTCAACGTTTACCACTCACAGGCAATGAGGAGAGCCCAAAAGGCAAGGAGACTTGCGGCTCAGGCAAAGGACGTAGCCCTAATAAAATAGCATCCCTAATATTAGCACTTTACAAATGCCTTAAGAAAGCAGTTATTGCCTTAATACTAGCTACAATTCTGAAAATCGTTTTTTCGAACCACAATACGAACCGATATAAAATTTCTACCCACCAAGATCACAAGACTTGAACAGATTTAGACATCCTAGTCAAAATCAAATACCCCGGTCGAGAGACAAATATTTCAACCACGACAAAAAAAAATTTAACAACATCACGAGCTCAATTCAAAATACCCTCACCGCCTGCATCTTCCACTTTAGTTAAGTTCAAAGAACCAAACCTACCATCAGACTACCTCGGTTCAACTCCAACCTCTGAACAAATAAGAGAAAACGCATTCAACCCACCAACCCCTTAAAGCAGATTTCCGTATTGGATGAACTACACATTTCCCAACGGCGAACCAAGTCTAGCAAACGAATCAATCGATCTTTCTTCTAGAACCCTTTCAACAACCCTACCAGAAACACTTTCTCTAACATCACCATCAGTAACAAAGATCTCATCTCTGAATACCTTTCCCATAAATTTAAACAACATCTGAATAATCGATATCAAGAACTACAAAACACTATGAACCCTTACGACTATAATAGAACACTTTTGTAGCACCTCCTCCTTTATTCGGTCAACATCTAGATATCACCCGACTCCACAGTTGGGCATTAAACAGATTACAATATAAACACGACAATCACAAAGATATACAAGATCATAATATTCTAACTTCAACTCAGCAAAATCTCAAGCTACCATTCGAATTACGTATAAAAGCTACAAAACCTAACAAATCATTCACTACCATTATCTGAACCAGACATTATAGTAAAATCTTTGCCTCCTCCATTTATTTGTACAGAACTAACTTGCAAATACGATCGGTTATACATCTTTTTATAATCCTTAGTCAGGACTGTCATACTCATGTATCTTTTGATATGGTCATCTTTTAATATCATTTAGCTTCTTGCATGTTTCGAACCAACAGTTAACAACAAACCATCCCCGCGAAGAGGACCACGAGAAGACAATCAACAAAAACATTAGATAAATATGCAATGAACCAAGAAACAATATGCGAATCAACCACTAGCAATCGAAACAGCTAACGTCACTGCTACATTTTACTCCAAGACCCGCGCTACAATACTTGTAGGGTAAAAATTAGAGAAAAGAAAATACACTGCTCATAAGTATCTTATGGAAACAAAAACAGTCTACATCACGAATCATACTATCAGAATACTATTGAACGACTAGTACACCTCAACCTGGAAGATTTTAAAAATGGACTGAAACGATTAACGCTAGTTTAAAACAAAGAAAATACCTGAACACCCGAACACTTGTAAACTTCTAGATTCAACACATGATCAACTTGAGCAAAGTCAAGGCCATATACAACTCGACGAAAAATACCCGTAACACGGACGATTGATTTATGATCTCCACGATAGAAATAGGATACCTCATATTGGTAAAAAATAATCTATCAAATTGTAAAGCTAGCACAAAAAACACTGGATAACATCAAATAATGTTTTTTAATTGGAAAATACAACTGGAACAAGCTCAACTCAGAGATTGGGAAGACGAAACTATAACATATCAAGGCATTCGCTTACCTTGTAAGAAAGATCAAGGATATTGCGACCCTCAACTCGCACCCAGGCAACCCTTGTTTGGTTCATTGAAAACACATGCAACACTTTTCACGTAGCTAAAACTCAAGCACGAATAATTAAAATTCGCAAGAAGTATTTCAGAGAATCGATATCATTAGAGCCATTAAATCCTTTAAAAAAGTAAGCTACAAGTCCCTTTAGAAATATAGTAGGAATTGAGAAGGAATTACCACGTTTTCAAATATACCCAGAAACATAATTCGCATGTAAATATTGGAAACCACTATTTAAAACCCTATATTCCGAAATTCTAGTTGAATACGTAAAACGAGTAGATATGAAAACAGGACGATGAAAAACCTTATACACCAGTTAAATTACAACGAACCAACGGTTAAATTGGAGGAAGACTCCTTCCAGACGATGAAAAATCTTATACACCAGTAAAATTACAACGAACCAACGGATAAATTGGAGGAAGACTTCTTCCAGAAAACCGCGACAGTACACGCTTACAAAAACTATCACTAATGTACCACTATCCATTATGATATACACCTGGAAGTGAAACATAATTACAATTTAAGTAGAATTTTTCAAGAAATGTCTCTATCAGTTTTCAAACATTACATCTTTGTGAATTAGAAAGAACACAAATACTACAACCATTAGCACTAGCAGTATTAAAATTCCTTAGGCAGGATACCTCCTCTCCGGAAATTGCTCAAACTTCATCGATTACGAGGGAAACATCCTTCGACACTACATTTGCACTAACATAGTTTCACCACTCTAGCAAAAGAAGATAAACATTATATTCTAAGTCTGATATACAAGATCACATTCGAACAACAGTTCCAGGAAATTCTCACAAAAATGGACACCATAAAGGCAATCCATCAATCAAAATCCAAGGAAACTCGCTGAAACAGCTGGTCTCTCAGATATCTACAACCAAGATTATAGAGGATATTTTAAAGTTATTGAAGATTAAATTTACCTCAATGGAGAAAAATACGGCTCACATGATAATTCTCCAATTAATACCTTTTGTATTCTTCACATCAAAAATGAATTACTAGCCTTTTTAGGGTGGGGGTGGCCCTATTAAACACTAGAAAGATTGACTACCATATAAGCCATGTTTAACATTACAAGATTTTTAATTTCACTTCCCAAAAGAACATACAACACATGTGCAATCCATACACAAGCCAGCGTAGCAATAATTTTTTTCGCAGGTTCTTTGGAAGTTTCTCTAAATCAATAAATAAAACATTACTAGTCGCACAAATTAATGGTTACAACAAGAAATTATCACAAAATCAACCTATACGATAATCAACAAAATACCACACACAACACCGACAGCACCACCACATTACCACAATTTATCAAATTGAAAAATCATTCACAAATTGTTCCTTAAACAAAGTATAGAACCACATTTTCTAGCATCACAACTACATCAACAATGAACTGCAACGCAGTCCCATCTCACATATTACACATCAGCCACAAAACACTCACGAAACTTAACAAATAATGTTACAACCTCCAACAGTTATTGTTCTCAAAATAACAATGATTTTAGCCGACGATGAGCCCTCAACTTGATCTCTCCATCGCTCTCACTCTTGTGCATTCAATCTCCAACGACAATTCGTTTTCTGACCTCGCCTCTTCTCCCTTGCCACTATTCAGCCCCAGTTTCTCAAATTTCTGACCCAAATCATCTCACAGGCACTCTGCTGATTCTATTCAAACAGTTTTTGACACACAGTATTCTTCGAATAACTCTGCCATCGATAAACCTGATGAATTTCTCAACTCAGAACCGAATACCACTACTATGTACTCACAACCACCTTTTACCCCAATAAATCCCCCCGTTCCCGAATAAACCACTCGATTTCTAGCTCCTACACTGATGCAACCCCAAACCTTTCATCTCTCTCTAATACTCTCCCTGATACCCC